GTAAGTTATTATCATAGTTTTGTAGAGGTCTTTAGGCTTTAAATTTTACACCAATAGGAGTACAGGCTTGTCCAGGATTACAGGACTAGGGGTATCTTTGGTATTGCATATTTTTTGCTTACAATTTATCTATTCTCCTTTGTCTTTCTTTTCGTTTTTATTTTATTTATTTAACTATTTATTTAGTATTTTTCCTCAAAAAGAATGTCTCTCTTTAGAATGGCCATGAAGTTAGTGTGCCGAGATGCGATCTTCGACCTACACACGCGTGGCTGTTCTGGCGACAAACTCTAAGCAATTGATGATACGCAAACAATTTGTTTACAACGCGATCAAACGCACCGTTCCAGATCAAACGCTCAAGATCAAAGGTCAGAGCTAAGAACAAATTCTGATTGTCACGGACGTGGTCGGCAAGCGACCGTTGTCAAGCAAGCGTCGTGAGAAGATCAAGAAGGTTCGAGTCAGCTACGCTTGAAAGCCACTCGTTCGTAGGCTGGGATGGCAAAGAATAGAGGAATTTCTCGAATTTCTATGAGCCGTATTGTCAAAAATGGTCTTGAAATGAATGCTTATGTTTTCCAGAAAAGCCAAAAGGCATCCGCGCAACAAGCTCGACATCGATAGAGATTGGTGCAAGCAGAATTTATCGATTTTGAACGCCAGTGACCACCATCAAGCTCGAACCTCAACCCTCTCGATTATTCTCGTATGGAGTAAATTGAAGAGCAAAAGCATGCTCCCCATCCAACCGTCGATTCTTCGAAGAAAGTTCTTCAGAAAGCTTGGGACGAGCTGAGCAGGCCCTAACTTCTCATCAAATCCGTCACTATCACCGTCATCGTCACGTTCCCAGAGAATCCGCGTTCCTTCAAGCCTGTGTTGTAGATCTTTTGAAAATACAGGAAAGCTTTGTAGTTAAAGTCGTACAGCGTATTAAAATAAATCTTTGCTATTTTGGTGTCATTTTAATAAAGGTGATCTTTAAATCCTCAAGTTCTTTAGTCCCCGTGATCTTGGACAATCCTAACATCCGATATATGAACTCGACCTGTACATGGACTACCGATCAGTCCAGGAACTAGATTTGTACACAATTCGACACAATTCTGTGTGACATTACGGTGCCCTAGCTCGAAGTCGGCTTTTTAGGACAGGTTTACTGAATACGACGTGAAAAGTGGTGGTTTCAATCGAGAGCTTTTTTGGTCGACATTGTTCTGAAACGATTGAAAGGGATTCGAAAAGACCCGAATGTCAAATTGAAATGGGAAATATCATCGCGAAGTTAGTTATATGTTAACGTTACTCTAATCCTTTCAAGAATATGCGGCTTTTAAACCATTGGGTTGGAGAGATTGAAAACTGCAGGACTTTGAACGTCAAAATTTATTCAACATAAACCCTGAATTCATTCGAAACACTTCGATTATTAGCGACGAGATCTGCCCATTTTACAGGCAATTTGCGGATTCCTCTTTCGTAGTAGGATTTTGGTGTTGTGTTTGAGGACGAGGGGGAGAGACTGCAAATCGAGGACTGGAGATGTCAGCTGTCAGCCCTAGTTTGAGCACTTTCTTCAAAAGAAACCCATTTTAGTCTTAATAGAAAAGTTGTAGAGAATCGAAAATTTAGGCTTACTATTAAATAAATTTCAAAAAGATACACTTAGTAGTTTCGCTTAAAATGCAAGTTTTGTGAAAATTCGTAAATTTCGCATTTCTTGAAAACCAGTTTTGAATCGTTCTGAAAATTTGGATATAAGCTGAGTTTGTTCTCACAACTTTTCTTTAATGACACCAAAATGGGTTTCTTTTGGTAGAGAGTCCTCAAACTGTCACATAAGACACAATAGCCCGCAGTTTTCAATTCACCAGCACCAATAAAATTAGTGTAAGATATGAAATTTCTCTTATTCAGATGTGCTGTTCTCAATCTTTTTATCACGACAAAATGCGTGAGAGATTGAATCAAAGCTGAAAGCGTTTCGAGAGGTTTTCTTTTAAGCTTTAATTGATAGTAAAGTTTTAGGAGAATACGTTGATTGCCAGTCTAGAATTTACGCCTCTAAACGATTCCAATCAAGAGCTTTACTCCGCCAATTGGTGTTAATCGGGTAAAAAGGAAAGGGTTTTGGTTGATTCTAGTTTTTCAAATTTTGAGCCATATATTTCTTTTGGGAATTTCCAGAAAAATATTGTTTTTCAACGAAAATTAGAGTTTACCAATGAGTTTGATTGCTTGAGAGGATGTTTTTAAAGAAATCGATCAATCATCGGACAATGATCGATCTTTTAATGGAAGAAGCTTTCATTATTCGCCCGAAGCAAAAATGCAGCACGGTTACGAATACCAAGAAAAAATGTGCTAAAACGAGAGTTGAAAGAGAACTTGGCTAACAGAAAAGAATTAAGGATTGCAGTCATGTTTCCGCTACTTTTCGAATTATGGATTTAAACGATATCTATTGTCAAATGCAATGTTTTAGCTGGTTTTCGATTTTTAATCCACAAGGGCACCCAAAGGGCATTATCTGTCGCCATGGAGTAACTATCAATTGATTGCAAATTACATTCGATGGCTTGAAGAGTTGAAAACGAATCGTTCCACAATCCCAATCAATTTCAAACACTTTTTTCAGAAATCATGCTACAAGAATGGTTTCAAATATCAAAAAATGGAAATTTATTCGTCAAAAAAACACTTCAGAAAGTGAAAATGTTTCCAGGAAAATGGTCAAAACAGGAAAAAAAAAGAAATCTGATTTTTCGAGCAAGAGAGTTGTTGTTCGAGAGCAAGAAAGAGAGCAAGAGAGCAAAGTTCCGAGGAGCTTTTGGATTCCGGATGCGATGACATTTTTGAATTTAGAACCCGTTTATTTATTTGAATTCCTTCAGGCGGCTCACGAGAAAATGCAGAGTTTCTCGACTGTGGCACCAGTTGCGCAAATAGAATCCACAAAAAAGCTCACATTGGAATCCCGGAAGATTTTCGACCTACCAATACCGAATTACGTTTTCAGTTAACAAATCCACCGCGTTGCACTTGCAAATGTGCAACAAAAATGCTCTATTCAGCTCATTGAACCATTGAGATTTGTTTATCAATTGAGCAATTTACAATTTGAATCACTAACAGAGGAAATGAAGATTATTTCTTTTAAGTGCAGCTCGTGGGAAGAGCTTGATTATTTGGAGTTGTATTATGCAATTCTTGATATTTTTCATTCATCAGCACTCGGATTGACTGCTGATTCCGGTTTATCCAAAAATTCGAACCCAAAATTTTGATGATTATTTTCAATCAAAAGCGAATTTCTTTCTCTTTGTAAATTATCAAAGTGGCAATTACATTGAGATGATTTTTCTTGATCATCCAGATAATTATGAGAATCCGGAAAGAATTCCGTGTCTTGATTTCACTTTAAGCTATCGCTCTCTAGAGTTTAGCAAAGCAAAGCAATTTTTGATGAGACACCGTTAAATAAAAGAACATTTACATTAATCAATCATCAACCCAAAGCTCAAATTCTAGTTACAATGGAAAACCGTTAAGTGATTGGTATGAGTTGGAAAACGAGAGTTCTTGGCCAGAACAGCTACGTGAGCCAAAAGTCGTGACGGAAAAGTACTCGATCGGAAGGTTGGCAAGTCGAAAGTCTTGGGCTAATAGAAACCTTTCGTAAGAAGTTTTGGAGTTGGTGTTTTGGATTTCAATAAAGTTTTGTACTCTTCTATTTTGACATTTGACAATAAATTTAAACTAGACGTTTGTAAAAATGTTCTCCCTTTCACCTTGCTTAGCTTTTCTTTCTGTTTTGCTTTGGTTGGCTGGGAAAACTCTACAGTTTAAGCCTTCTTCACATCAGAGGCAAATACCAAGTTTTAAATTCAGCAAAATCTGTGTGCTGGGGAAGGCTCGAACGTTTAACACATACCAACTATGAAAAAGTTCCAAGTGCACTTCTGATTTATTTCATTGGCTTTCTCTAAACACCTCAGCATTGAACATGTTTCAGTAAAATAGTTTTTCTAAAATGATAAGGCTCAAAAGCTGACGGCAATCTAGAAGTGCTTGATTTAATGCATTTCGGATCTCTAGGGTTTTAAAAAAGAGCTCTAACCACATTCATCCTGGAAGATAATCAGCCTTGAGTCTAATGCTTTTAACCCAGCATTCTGTAGTCAAATAGTGTACAGACTTTACACGAAATAGCTCATTTGACTCAAAAACTCTTCCTGGTCAGACAACTTGTAAAGTTGTCCGATGTTCGATGCGGTTGGGAGGGGATCAACAGAGTTCAGTGGCGTTCAGTGGATCGGCAGATTTTGTGTGGCGTTCGGCGGTCGGGCAAAGCCTTCAGTGTAATGCTGGTAAAGCCGCGAACCACGCTGAACTTCAACAAATTGCTTCCACGTCACGAATCTGAATAAAATCAAGCTTTAAAGTTTACTATATAAAATTTCGGCCATTTTGCACTTGGATAGCTAATTTTTTGATTTACTTTTTGGAGAGGTTTAGCCATTTTGATGGAGAATCATTTTTATACTTCCAAATTTGTATCCAAAAATCATTATCGTTTAGCCTAAAAACAAACAAATTGCAAGAAACGATGACAAACGATTTTTTTTTTTGAAAGAACTCCCCAATAATAGGTGTAAGGGGCAATGCGATAACAGTAAAAAAACGGAAAAGACTTTGGGGAAACGGGGCTCCAGAAGCTTGCAAGATAAAAGGGCTCTGTTTACCCAAACAATCCGTCGAACGGCTCCATCAGCAGTTATTTTTGCGATCGATTTGCCTTCCTAAAGGTCTTCCGATTCTTCTGTTCTGCAGTTCTATAAATTCTCTACAAATGGATGATGCAATCGAACGATTAGTTGCTGGCTATCGAAAGAATGCAATATTCTACAAAGATTAAATCTTGAGCACATTGTGAAGTTGGTTGGCTGGGTAGAAGATGACGAATGTGCGGATGTGGCGAGAGATTTCGTCTCAACATGGAGAATTGCCAATGGGGCACGCTTGGAGCTGGTTTGTGATGAACTCTCGTTGGCTGTTGTTCTGTTGGCTAAACCATGACTAACAAAAAGCTATCGTAATCTAACTGATGATAGCTTTCCTCCTTCATTTTGCGTTTACTAAAGCGTGTCAACCGGCAAAGTATCATTATCTTGGTTTTAGTTTTAAAATCAATCTAATTTTGGTTTGATCCAAAGGATAAAAAAGCTAATAGAAGCTAAAGGCCAGGTTGCATTAGCTTTTAAAGTTACCAGATTTTTAGAAAATGTATCTTTTGAGAGAATTTTGATCAGATCTAGTTTCGTTGTCTGTCTGTCTGTCTGTCTAAAAGATATGCTTCGGAAAAGCTACCGTAATCGTCGATTTTATTGTGCGAAAATTAATTTAAGCTTGGGTGAAGATCACCGAGAGGTTTTGCTAAAAAGCTTTCCAACTTCCCAACTCGTAACTTGAAGCCAGAGAAAGTACGGCTCTTTTAGAAAGGCTTTCCACCTTTTAGAAAAAATTTTGAGCAAAAGACGCTGCCTTTTTGTCATTATCGTATTGCTTTAGCTATTGATGCATCGTCCACAAAATTTCCCACGAAAACGATCGCTTCCTGGGCAGAGCAAATTTATTGGGGACTCGCTCATATTCATGGCCATCACTTTACCCACCTCAAAATCAACATTGAACCAGAAAAGTTTGTTTCCGTATTATTTTAGGACTTTTTTTTCCTTTTACAAAGTAAAACTCTATTTCCATCACCCTTTTCCACACTTTTCCCTCCATTTGACTTTGCACAATCGATAAACTTTCAAAGTCCCTCAAAAACAACTGCCTAAATTCAAGATAAGCAATATTATTGAGCCATTTTACCCCATGCACTTGCGAAATGCAATTTTCCTTTTCGAATCAACTCGAGGCTTGTCAGAGAAAAGTTTGAGTGCAAATGAGCAATTTTAGCATATTTGTGACTGAGGAATCCACCTTGAAACTTGGAGGATTTGGTGCTGTGGATACTTCGGAGACACTGCGATACAAGTGTCGTTACAAGAGAAAATGAAAATGACCGTTATGAAATGCGAATGAAATATGATATTCGAGTAAGTGAAGTGATAAAAGTAAAGATTTGAGTTGTGCTCTTTGGGTGCTCCTATTTGAGCCGTACTGTGCCTAGATTTGAGCTCTAAATTCGATGGGTGAATCAGAAAGTAGGTAAGAGACAGGAGGCTGAATGAATTCTAGTCTGGTTATTCTTACCTTGGCTAGCTTGACCTGGATTGGTTTTGCTGCAAGCGGGATCAGCCAGAAGCCAGACCTTTTGACTGGTTTCTGACCTAAGCTGGCTTACAAACCGGCTCAATTGAAACACTAAAACTATCGTCAAATAAACTGGAAACTATAGGCCACGCAGAATGATGCCGTTTACAGTGCGACATTGGTTGTTTGGGAAATTATGGAGGGAAGGTAGTAAGCAGAAAATTGAATTAAATGTTACATATCTAGAGTCGTATTCGGCGAGTACGGAAAGCGGGGCAACTTTCGGCATGACGACTTTTTGCATGGGATTTCTGATAGAAAACTCCAACAATTGGAACCACCATCATGCGAAAATGATAATTTGAAAGAAATAATGAGAAGGTTTTCTTAAAACAAATATTGAATATTGAAAATATCGGTTTTTAGAGGTTTGAGTTTTGATCATTCATTGCGACCAAATGCTCTCGAAGCGTACTCCTTTTTAACCAGGTACACTTTTCTCAAAAGCATCTTTTCTTTCCAATTACCGTAACCCATTTCAATTGCTGTAACGCAAGTTACACTTTAAGATCTGATCAAATCAGCTAGAGTTTTTGTTTGGTCAATTCTTATTATCTACCGTATCCAATAGAAAATGGATACGGTAGATAGAAGAAACAAAATTACAAATGTTAAAATGTTCAGCTTATTACTGAAAGAAAACTTTTGAAATCATAATAAAGTGCCTTTCAAAACTTGCGTCTTCAGTAATCCCCTAAAACTGCTGCTTAAGAAGAGTGAAAGAGTTATTAACAAAAACTTTTTTCCATCAGAAAGAACATGTTTTAAAAACCCTAAAAAAACACCTAAAAGGACGCCGTCAAAAATTTACTGTCAACCTACTGTACGCGGTCAAAAATTTTGTTTCAAACATTTAAGAAAACAAGACTGTTTCAAGTTTTGCGGCTCACTTGTAGTTTTGATTTTAAAAAAGTTTATTTTAACTTATTGTTGTTGTTGTTGTTATTGTTGTTGTTTTAAGTTAAAATAAACTTTTCTTTAATCAAAACTACAAGTGAGCCGCAAGACTTGAAACGCACTGTACATCATAACTTTAAGGCTTTCCTTTCCTTTTTTTAAATTGTAAATTATCTTACAGAGAAATGCTGAGCCTGAATTCTCGCCATCAACTTTTTCGATCACAAGAACTCTCACAAAATTGGAGCTATTCTGCAATTCGATGGCGGCGAACAATCGAATTCAGTCAAATCTGATGGCTTTACGACAATGGAATTCCCTTTATCCGAAATTTTTTCTGTTCTCGTTGAAAATCTCGATAAACGAAAGGACAAGTTCATTGGAACTTTTGACAAAATATATTATGAGAGCTTCGCGGAAAATTCAAGTGTTTAAAAACATTGGAACAAAACAACATTGGGACATGTTTGATCCAAAACTTTTTTGGCTATATTGGACAAATCAATCTTGGCAAATACAACTATTCCGAGAAAGCGGAAATCGAGAAAATTTTGGCGGAGAAGCAGGGTCGAAACTTGGATTTTAAAGAGGCTTTCGAAATGTTGACCTTGAGCGATTTCTACACCTTTATGGAAAGTTTCGATAAATTTTTCAATTTACTAGAAGATATCGAGAAATATTCACTATCACCGTGGAGCTACTACCAAAGGATTAAGCGTCTCATATCGGATTTGGAAATCCTTTCACAAACTCGCCACAATTTCCCCATTCATTTTCATTGTTTTGTGCAAGTTCAACGAGGCTGTGCCTTATTTTAATCGACGAAAAGACGAGTCTCTTCGTTGACGAATCTCTCAAAGAGCTCAAGAAGTTTGATGGAAAGATGAAAGGAGAAAACGGACAAAGAGTTCTCATCGGGAAAACCCACGAAAGGTCCGATAGTCAGAGGTTCATTGAAGGTGAATTGATGGCACTCGACTTGGCGCAATTGCTCAAAGCGGTAAACAAGCTTCTACAATGCGCGGTGAGATCGGCGACGATCGCCTTGCAAAGTCACAAGAAGATCACTAGTTGGCCAATTGTCGATCATCTGCTTCCAAATCAACTCATCGATCAAATCCCAATTCCCCATTGTGTTTTTTAACTCTCGTCAGCCATCCCGACCAGTTTGTCCTCATTTCCCGAAGCATTCTTTTAGATCTTATGAGCCATTAGCTCATTTAGACACAAAAATCTCAACCAAATTTTATTCATATCCTGACCAAATGCAAATTGAACTGTTTGAATGCACTTCTCCACCCTACAAGGAATATCTAGATTTGCACTTTTCACTCCGTCATCATTTACAAGAACTCTCAAACAACCCGGAGAATGAACTTTTGGATGAACTCGAATCAATGGCAACAATTTCCGAATCAAAAACAAAATACTTTGCTTTTCTAAACATCGAGTATAGTCGACCCTATAAAGAAGGAATTCTTCACATTTTGCTTGATGATCCGAGAGTCTATGCGGATGATGAACACTTTTCTCCCGAGGAAAAAACGCTGTGTCTCGGACATGATCGCAAGATTCATTCGCTTAACAATGAGATCATTAAAGAGTATTTTGATGGATGTGACTCAAAGGACAGAACGTATACACTGATCAATGAATGTCTTCAAGCACAAGTCGTTGATTTCAAAGGAGACAAGAAAACGAAATGGTTACAGCTACGAGATCCTTCAACTTGGGGACTTTTGGAAGACGGTATCGAATCGAGGAATCGGCGAAATAAAGGTAAATATTTTTTTTTGCTACACGTATCGTATTTTCCCTAATAGTAGTGCAATCATGAAGGGGTTTGACTACGGTAACGATTTCTCACCCTATAACAACCAGCAAAAGACCATTAAGAGCCCAATTCAGCTAGGCAATGATGCTAACTGAAAGCTAAATAACGGTTTTGTTTTGGGGTACTTAACGAGTTTTTTTTTCTTTTAACACTCTAACACACGTAATAATGAGTTTCGAAGAAAAAAAGTTTCTAGTTGACGGTTTATTAGTTATGCTTGAAAGGTATTTAGGAAAATAGGTTTTTGATTTCAATTTTTTATATCTACAGATTAGCAAGTTGTTTAAAAAGTATTAAATGATACTATCAGCCAATTCGAATCAAAATTTCCGCAATTTTCAATGATTTCTAAAAGGTAGGACGATGGGGAAAGTATTAATCAAAAACTTGGGTTTTTTTCCTTGGCTTTCATCAATGAAAGGTTAATAATTCTATATACTCGTAAGGGAACTTGGCCTCAGCTAATCGCTTCTTGAAAAATCCTAATGAAAAACAAAGTATAGTTAAAAATAGTACTTCGAAGTTCAGAGGTGCCAATCTCTCGGCAGAGTCGTTCTTCGTCAAGGACATTTTGTGAAGATTCCCGCTTCGTATTTAATCATTTTTTTGCTTTTATTAAGAAATAGAATTATCTGGAACATTTCACATCAGAAGATTTTGAATAATTTCAAAATTTTGAGAGCCAATAGTTGAGTTCCCTGAAAGCTGAGCAGAGCAGCGATCTCTATGGTAACACTCCAAATCATTTCTGATTTGCTGTCTTCTAAAGTTAATGCATTTATTTTGTGATATTTGTCTAAATTTACACTCAACATTAGAACAAAAGCTTTCGCATATCATTTTTACCGACTTATCCCACTCTTTTCAGCATAGTCGACTCAGTATTCGGTAGAGGTGACCCTACAATCACGATTGGACCACAAAACGGACCTGCGCCAGCAAGTCTCGTGAATCCCGCCCAAGCAGCTCCAGTTGCTGTTGTCTATGGAAAATGATTGCCCTGTATTTAGATGTAATTTTTTTCTGTAGCCTTATGCATTTGAATAAATGTTGTGGTTTTTGCACTCATAATCTTTTGCAATGACTTTATTTTCTGTAAGCTGACCCAAGTGGATAGTATGATAGTGGAACGAGATTCGATCCATACAAGTTGCCATTATCAGTTTATCCTATTTGATCTTGAGGTCCAGCTGTTCACATTTAGCTTCTAGAAAGATTTCTGGCTAGCTTGCTTTATGGCTTTGAAACAGACTTGCAACTTTATTTAAAAATGGGATGAAAATTGAAACACAGATAGAGAAAGAGTTGTTTAAGTTGAACTAAAAAAAAGCACTCTTTCAAAACTAATCCGAACAAAATGGGAGTCTTTTGTAACCAAATAAAAGACCAAGTTGAAAAGAGCTACAATAATACAGAGAACAGTGATACTGGCCAGTACAACAATGTAAGGAGTGGCGAGTAACTCATCGATCAAGCTAGGTCCAGCTGTTGTCGTCGTTGCCATTGTCGTTGTCGTGGTTGTCGTCTTTTCCTTTTTCGTGGTTTTCGTTGTAGCTGGTTTTGTCTTGGGTGTTGCAGTGGTTGTCTTTCCACTTTTTTGTCGTTTTAATCGATTCAGTGCTAGCCTCAGTTGCTCCCTTTGTCGCTTTAGCGGTTTTTTCACTAATTAATTCGGTGACTTGGCTGACATCAGTTGTAGATTTGCTTGTAGTTTGTTGATCGGTGACCGTACTTGTTTTGCCAGTATCAGTAGCTGGACTGGTTACGGTATTTGATCCGGTAGCAGTACTTGGCTGAACAGTGATCGTAGTTGATTTACCGGTGACTGACTGAGTTACGGTAGTTTGGCTAATAATTGTGGGTTTAGCAGTGGCAGTACTTTGAGCCTCAGTCACTTCTCCTTTCGTCGTTTTGAATTTTCGGTTGTTCCAGTACTAGTTACGGTAGTTTGACTGATATCAGTTGTAGATTTAGTATCAGTACTTGTTTGATCAGTATTAGTACCTGGTTGTTAGTAACAGTACTTGATTGATCAGTATTAGTACTTGGTTGCTTAGTGACAGTACTTGTTTGATCAGTATTAGTACCTGATTCCTTAGTAATAGTACTTGTTTGATCAGTAGATCCAGCAGTAACTTCAGTTGAGGCAACTGAACTCGAATCAACACCACCAATCGTCGAGGTGATCACCGGTTGAGCAGTTGATCGAATTGGAGGTACGTATGGCTTGAACGGCTCAAGCTCCGGCTGATATTTGGCAATTGAGTCAATCGCTGTCGTCAAATTGATATTGCAATCATTCTCCGCACAGAAATAGTAGACTTTGTCATCGAATTGATAAACGCCAACCTGAATCCGAAATTCTTAGCTGTTCTTAATTCTTAATTCGGAATTCTTAGCTGAATCTTTACTCAAGCTAAGTCAGGGTGACGTAGAGTACTTCAAAAGTTCAATCGAATTCAATTCCCAACCTCAACCCTCCCCATCGCTTTCGAATCGTCTTGAGTGAAGCAACCAAAAATCGTCGAATTATCCGATTTCTATAAATGTTATGTTAAATTTTGGAAGCCTTGAATACGGTTATTTGAATGAAGCAATATTGTCCTTGACAAGTTTCCCCATCAGTGCTGCCACTCATAAAACATTGGAGATTTGTGGAGGAGGATGGAGTGTAGCCATTCTCATTGCAAACATCCTACAAATTTGATGATGATTTTAAGGCTTTTAACTTGTTCAAATGTAAAAGTTTGCAATGATTTTTTGTTTAAACAAAACAAACAAAATTTTCCAGTATTTTAAACGCACCCAATTGCATAGTTGATAAGCCGAAGACTCTTGCGAATTCGTTTGGAAACTGTAGTAGCCGCCAAAGTAGAATCTAAAGTGATTTTTGCTTAAATAGATCTCAGTTTGTTGTGTAGTAAGAGTTTCGTTGGCATTTTTTTCTTATTCTAAGAAAATCTTCTTACGGTGTTGGTGTTGATGTTAGATAAGCGGGTGGATGAATCCCAAAAAGCCCATCAGCGAACGAGGTTTCATCAGAAAGAACAACCGAATAAGCGGACGTGGTTTTGTTCTTAAAATTTATATGTCGTAGCCGATTATGAATGAAATTTTTTGGAAAATCTTTCTAGTAGAGCAACCCTTTAATGTATGAGGACAATATTATATCATCTCGTAGCGAATTGAATTCTGCGTCGATTGGTACCAAATTTGTGAGTTTAGGTTAAAAGTGCCGGGCACTACAACGTTTCATTCAAAATCGGCGGGACCCCCTGCCGATTATGAATGAGTGGATCTAGGAGCGACCAACCATCAAGTATTTGGTATCATTCAACGCAGAATCATTGATAATTATGTTAAATTTTTTAAATTAGCAAGATTTGATAAAAAGAAAAAAAAATTAGAGCAAAAAAAACTGTTTGTTCAAGAGAAAACTTTGAAGCCCCATAATTTTTTTCTTTTTATTCAATCTTTCTAATTTAAAAATTTAACATAATTATTAATGATTCTGCGTTGAATGATACCAAATACTTGATGGTTTGATGCGTCCGGATCCACTCATTCATAATCGGCTGAAATTCATAATCGGCTACGACATATAGACAAAATTCACATTTAAGCCTCACCAAAACTCCATTTGATGAACAAAATTGACCATTTATACTGGAAAGTGAGTTCAAATTGTTCGAATTGCAAGTGATCGATGAATAGATGGTGATTGGGAAAGAGCGATTTCCCCATGAAACATTCGAGACTGATTTGGAAGCGCTTGCATCGAGTAGATAGAGATTGCAGAAATCACTTCTGTAAACGATAGATTCGTATCGTGAAAGATTTATGCAGAAAAAACCTGCACAAACAAACGAAGAACTCGACAAATTGTGCAAAGTAACATCCCTCATTGAGGTATTTCATTCCACTGATACATCCTCGAGACGCGCCAGAGCCCACTTGATAGCAGAGATCACCCTCGCAGACTGAGTTGCTAAAGTTTTAGGAGTGAACTTTATATGCACTTTTTGAAGAGATAAAGATAGGGATGCAGGGTCAGTATGAGTTTCGAGCCAGCCTTTGTAAGTCTAGTCAGTTAGGTAGAACCAGACCAGAATCCAGTTCTAGAAGTAAGCAGATTTAGGCTTGAACCGGACTTTTCAGTAAAGTTCTGCTAAACAGAACGGTAATTTATTGGTAATTGGTAATTGCCTTTGGAGCTATCCTGACTTCTAGTAAGCTTAGTGAATAAAGCCAAGCATGGCCCTCAAAATAGGGACAATTTTTTTGAGAATTCACAAGAGAAAATGATTATTTAGAAAATTTGTTATTTTGTCAGTTAAATAGATTTGGTATTGAAAATCTTTCTGTTTTCTAACCAATATGAAACGATTGAATTCTTAAGTTTTACATGGTAGCCGTCGCTTCTGAACATTGAATAGCGTGTCCACGATGAATCAAAGAGATTAGCAGAAGTAATCGAAACATTTTCAAACAATCAACATGACCGATCTCGTGATAACGTCAAAAAGAAAACTTGAGAAAGTTTGCGCAAAAACCATCTGCCAGCCAAATACCGAGTATTCCGCTCCCGGCTTTACATTTTCACCTGGAAATCCACCTGTTAATCCGTTTTTTTTTTTGATTCACTGATTACTTCTTATCCATGTCTTACAATGGATAAGTTTAATTGTCTAAGGGATATACAAATGCCTAGCTAAACATAACATTCACGACAAAGTCCTTATTCGATTGTCATTTGGACTACGACCAATGGGCAGTAAACTCGGAGTTTATCACTTTCAAAAAATAAAATAGAAATAAAAAAGGCAGAGCTCTGAAGCCATATTTTGGCAGAAAAGAGTTTTAGCTTTATTTGAAATGCTTCTAGACCTAAGAAAACAGCTATAACAACTTGAAGAATCGCTTGAATTTTTGGGCGATGGTTGGATAAAGACTGAATTATTTTCTATGCCCTTTTCATTCAATTCATTAGGTGTATCCATCACTTTCTTATCTCGTCAATCTTTCCGATATCATCATTAAGTCAACAAATCTTTTTGGCTTTAATTTCCCGATCTATTACTTATTTCTATTCATGATCATGGTATTGATTAGACATGGCTAACGATATTTTGGGGTTGCCATGCTTGGCCATGCTTGGCTTTATTCACTAGGATTACTAGGAGTCAGGATAGCTCCAAAGGCAATTACCAATTACCGATAAATTACCGTTCCAGTTTGGCAGAACTTCACTGAAAGTGAACAGTCATATCGGCACACTGAAAGTTTCTAGCAATTTGAAACTTTTTTATCAGAAAGCCAATATTATTAGCTTCATTTTGATACCAAAAATTCAGTAAAATGCTTTAAAATTGTACTGAAAAAATCACATTAAACCTTAAAATTATTACCCTTAACGAGGCCTCGTTAAGCACGGTCTCGTTAAGTATCGATAACCTTTTTAGAGTACTTTTTGAAGGTTTTTTGTTGAATGTTTTGATATCAAAATGGACCTGATAAACTAGGCTTTCTGATAGAAAAAGCTGCAGATTACTAGCAACTTTCAATTTGCTGATATGACTGATCAAACTTGAAGCCTCGTTAAGCCTCGTTTAAAAGTCTAGCAGGTTGAGGTTCATTACAATAACAGTGGTAAAAGTTTCCCCTTCAAACACAAAACACATTATGACATTTGAGGATATTGCCTTCATTGACGCGTGCAACAAAATAATTTCCACCACGGCGCACATCCGCGCGAAAATGCGATCGCCGTTAAACTTGCTCAAGGTAAGTGCTATTGGATGCGAAAAATGTTCTGAATTCGAATTTGAAAGAATTTTTGCGCCATTACTGCTGCCGCGGCGGTGCATAAT